CAGCTAAAGAATGACCAGGTTAATGTTTTTGGAGCAGGTTAAAGTTTTTGGAGCAGATTAAAGTTTTTAGAGCAGGTCTCATTTCCAAGTAATTATAAGCCCTATATTGACCAAACTTGCATGGATGATACATCTAAGGATGCACACTACCGAACTTGCTTCGAATGCTGGATCTGACCTATATTTTCCGGATGAGTGACAAGGTTAAGGTTTTTGGAGCAGATCTCATTTCCAAGTAACTATAAGCCCTATATTGACCAAACTTGCATGGATGATACATTTAAGGATGCACACTACTGGACTTGCTTCAGATGCTGAATCTGACCTATATTTTCTGGATGAGTGACCAGGTTAAATTTTTCGGAGCAGATGTCATTTCCAAATATCTATAAACCCTATATTGACCAAACTTGCATGCATGATACATCTAAGGATGCACACTACTGGACTTGCCTCGGATGCTTGATCTGACCTATATTTTCTGGATGAGTAACCAGGTTAAAGTTTTTGGAGCAGATCTCATTTCCAAGTAACTATAAACCCTATATTGACCAAACTTGCATGGATGATACATTTAAGGATGCACACTACTGGACTTGCTTCGGATGCTGGATCTGACCTATATTTTCCGGATGAGTGACCAGGTTAAAGTTTTTGGAGCAGATGTCATTTCCAAGTAACTATAAGGCCTATATGGACCAAACTTGCATGGATGATGCATCAAGGGACGAACAATCTCAAAACTTGCTTCGGATGCTGGATTTGACTTACATTTTCTGGATGAGTGACTAGTTTTAAGTTTTCAGATAAGTCTATTCCCAAGTAATTGCAAGCCCTATCAGACCAAAATTGCATAAATTTGCATCTAGGGATGCACACTCCTAGATTATTAGTTTAGTGTGGGACTTTGTTTTACTTAAAGACAACATTCGTTGAGGTGAGCTCTGTAATCTCTGATTACCTATGTTTTCATTGTCTTGTGATTTGTTTAAATGTAAAATGCGTGAAATAAATTGTTGCCAGTAAATACCTAAAATTATTTACCAAATATACCGCTAGTCATAACTATTTTGTTTTATATCCCAAGGGGTACACTGAATTATACAAAGATTGACTTCTAATAGAATTTTAATTGTCTGACAGATAAAGAGATATGTACTGTGTACACAAAGGTGTTAACACCTGTGTTGGTTTAAACGCCTGCGGGGCATGATCCACGTGCCGTTAAGGGGGTATTAGTGCTATACATCATCGAACAAACAAAACTGTGAAATTCATGATGACTGTTAAATTGCGAATGTACTCTCAATTAAATTTATTTTTTATACAACATTATCTCAAGCAAAATTATAGCATGTTGGTATGATTAATTTCAATTGCTCACTGTTACATGTAATAGTCAATTGCGTGTTTTAGCAAAATCCCTGGACAAGAAATATAAAAATGACGGTCATCAAAGTTAATATTGTACCCCGGTAAATAATGTCGGAATAAAAGAATGTGTCCACGATGTTCTAAAATGGAAATGATTGCTGTTTGATTTCGGGTATTTTCCTAATTATAGCTGTTGTATACTACCTTATTTATGTGTTTAACGACAGCGTCAAAGTACGACGGCATTGAACAGGCAAGTTGGAGAAAATACGTTATATCACAATTCAAGGAAGTTTTAACTGTGTTTGTATAAAACACTATTAAAAAGCTGTACTCATAAAAGTATCAGTTTATTTTCTCAATACATTAATATCACGGGTTAAGTTAAAGAGGTTAACATGTTCTGATGCGTAGTATCTATGTAAGAATCTCTAGAAAATTGATAAACAAAGCCTCGTCCTATCTTCCGAGTTCGTCCTATCTAAGGATTTTTTAAAAAATTACGGCGGAAAATGAGCCTTTCGACCTATATACCCCATCGACATATACCCCAAAAATTACGGTAGGTCAGATCCAGCATCCCAAGCAAGTCCAGTAGTGTGTATCCTTAGATGTATCATCCATGCAAGTTTGGTCAACATAGGACTTACATTTACTGGAAATGAGATCTGCTCTCAAACCTTTAACCTGGTCACTCATCTGGAAAATGTAGGTCAAATCCAGCACCCAAGCATGTCCAGTAGTGTGCATCCTTAGATGTATCATGCATGCAAGTTTGGTCAATATAGGGTTTATAGTTACTTGGAAATGAGATCTGCTCTAAAACCTTTAACCTGGTCACACATCCGGAAAATATAGGTCAGATCCAGCATCCGAAGCAAGTCCAGTAGTGTGCATCCTTAGATGTATCACCCATGCAAGTTTGGTCAATATAGGGCTTATAGATACTTGGAAATGAGATCTGCTCCAAAAACTTTAACCTGGTCACTCATCCAGAAAATATAGGTCAGATCCAGCATCAGAAACAAGTCCAGTAGTGTGTGTCCTTAGATGTATCATCCATGCAAGTTTGGTCAACATTAGACTTATAATTACCTAAGAATGAACCTGCTCCAAAAACCAGTCACTCAGTTTTTTTAGGGGGAAACCAAATTCATTTCACAATAACAGATTTTTCAAATAAAGAGAGTTCAATGAAAGTGAGTTTGAGTGTAGTTTGAATTACAGCCCTGGGGAATAAGATGGGGCCACAATAGGGGATCAAAATTTTGTGTGGGAAATTTTACGGAAATTTTTTTTTAGAAAATTAAAAAAAAATTTCTTCAATCTTTAAGAATGGTCTGAATAATTGGGCCTTGACAAGTCTTATTAATATGCAAGCATCCCAATGTTGTGCATTTCCATATTTATTCAAATATGGCCCCTGCTAGAATGGGACTAAAATTACACAAACTAGGGGTTTCATGAGTAAGATGTGATATACTGTATACCATCTTGTGGATTATTAAGAAAATAATCACAATGCAGTAACATACTGTAAACCAATTATTATTCGCAACATCTTTTATTTGCGATTTTCAGTTTGGAATCCATTCCTGATTACTAATGGTCACGACTGAGGCAACATTCTACATAAATACATAATTAGGTGAATGATTGGTTCACGACGATAAATATTCACGAGGAAAGGAGGTCACAATAATCATGGATATTTCTGGCTCGCAAATAAAAGTTGGTTTATAGTATGTTGATACTATAGGCACATTTCATTGGGATTGTCTTACTCATTTATCAATGATAAAATGCTCTTACAAATTAGAGTTTACAAGTTTTTTTTTGAAAAGGTTGGTGGGGTGGGGTAAGAGGTGGGGGACTGAAATATGGCAATAGATAGATGGTGCTAATTTGCAATGAAATTACATAAATTAGAAGAAAAGCTTACTAATTAATATATTCTGTAAATTAATTTGTTACTTGTATGTCCGTGGGGGTTTTATGTTTGTAACAGACTTTTAGTTGACACCTGTTGCATGCCCTTCAACATCACGACAGATTAGTTTTCCAGCTTATGCTTGAGAAAGAATCAATATCAAAAAATACATTATCACAAGCACTCAGAAAATATTGAATAGAATATCCATGGAAGGCAAAATATAGCTTCCTCAACTAAGTGCCTGAAAAAGTAGATTTTGTGTCATTTGTATACAATTAGTTATGGTAGCTTAGAACATTAAGGTCGTGTGCCCTTGCACAAAATGAAAAGCATAGCAATTTTTTTTGTGTGTGTATATGTGTGTATAAGGGCACAATTTCCATCCATTTTTGTAAGAAATACTAACAGATGTTACTTTGGATTAACTGCTCTCGGGTTAAGATTTCACCTCTGTAATGTGATTATTCATTCATAATGGGAATAGAACCAGTATTCTCTTTCTGCAAAGAAAATTATTCCCTGAGTATTTAGCTTTAGAAATTTTATGACAATTATTCACCTATCCTTGTGCTGTAAACACATTGATTCCACTCTATATATGTATTTTTTTTTGGGGGGGGGGGGTACTTTGTAAAAAAAAAAAAAGTAATGACTGACTTTTTATGCATTAGTACCCCCCCCCCCCCTTTCCACCACCACACACACACATGTCATAATTATGTTTCAATTCTTCTAATGTAACTATTGGACTGGTGCACATTCATAAATTAAACAGAATTTCTGTGTAACTTAGTTATATGAGAGGAAACATATGACATTTATTAAGTATATAATATACAAACCAAAATTATGGAGCACTGTTTTGAAACATATTGTTCTCTGTAACCCCATAGCTATTACGTACACGGTACAATAGCATGAAATTTTATGGATTACTCAGTGAATGTTATAAATTGAGCAGACAGAATTTGCATCAAATGCATTTGTTTCATTTGGGCATATGGGAATTCATGATGGTAGAAAAAAATCAAAATTCCTCGAGGAAAGTCATTCCATTATAAAATAAAATTATATGGAGCCAACCCTCGTGTAGTAGTACATTGAAAATAAAATCAAAGGTATAAATATAAGCCATAGGCATAGCTGTTTTGAATTATTATTATTTTAATTACAGAAATATATGGGTAATGATTATACTGTAGTACTCCCAAATACTATGGTCTCTTGGATAAGTGCCACAGTTTTAATACGCAATATAATAAGCCGTTATTTCCTGATTCTGACAGAGATGTTTAAAATTAAACGGTTTGTTCTGGAGTAAACACATTACTGTGGCCTGCTAGCCACTTATTTGATTCTGAAGTACAGACGTACTCTCTAGAAAGTCCACACAAACACAACTATTTGTCATTGGCTCATGGTGCTATCTTTACGTATTGAAGCACTGCTACTATGTAGCAGTCAATATTTTAAAGACCGTAATGTCAGATAATTCAAGGATAATTAATTTTTATCCCTTTCATTCCGTCAAGAAAAGCCATGCATTAAAAATATGTAATGAATATAGGAAATCTATGCTAGCAATCAATGCATGTACAGAGGAAGCACATTTGAATAGCCACGGGGGAGAGATGTTCAGAGTTCAGTGGTACATAGTATTGGACAAGTAAGCTGTCCTCATGCCACAGAAGTAGCACCACATCAGATGGCAGTGTAATTAGCTATTGAATTGCCCAGCATACACAGTGATATGTTACCTGGGACTAGACCAATTGATTCCAATTCTTTCTACTACATGGTCACAGCATGAAGTGTGTTAGACAATGTTTCCGAGGACAGTGTTTTTCATTTCCTACTCTGTTTTAGATAGAAATGATAAAACACTGAGATAAGGGACCAGATTTCCGGACTGACACTTGTTCAGAGTAATACAACTGTGTTGGTGTCTTAAAGTGACTTATTATAAATTAGTGAGGAAGTTAGCATGAAAACCTAGTCCATGATGTGCAGCTTTCTGTAAAGAGGGGCATGTATTCTGGACAACCAGGGTACAATGGGGTAGACCCCTACTCCATCAATCGGGGGATGTACCAAAATAATATAGCCTGGAACCCCATGGGATACTATACCTGTATGTATCAATGCTTCTATGTATTCTGTATGTAGATTTATATTCTCTACATTTTCCAAATTGATATTGTCTTAAGTCAAGTTAAATATGTTACAGTAGTTTTTAATTCTTCAAAATAGTCTCTTCTAAATTCATGAAATGGTACTATGAAAACTTTTCAAATAAAGTCTTTATTTTTTCCCCTTTGTTCTGCATCCCTCTTTTTTCTCAAATTTTTAAAATTCATAAAAAGTACACTGTTTTACTTATATGCTTCAATACATATACCTAAATGTAAATTGATAGATTTTAATAATTTTGGGGTTTTTTTGTGAATTGATAGAAATAAAAAATCTCTTGATTCATCTGAGGATTTTCTTAACTTGTATCTGAGTGCATTTTATACATTTTTTTTATTCATCTTGGTTCAAATTCAAGACTGAAAAAGCTAGGTCAAATCTATCAATTGTTTTCAGATTACATGTAGGCCAAATCTATCATTTGTTTTCAGATTACATGACTATTGAATTGAAATTCATAACAAATTCATGGAAATAAAATCTTTTAATTCAGTGACATTGAACTCATTTAAAGATGATGTTTATTTGAAATGTGATTCTTGTTCAATACCTGTTTGTCCATGAAACAGACAGAAATTTCAATACCTGGGTCTCAGCTGCTTTAGTAATTACTTTTCAATATTAGTGATTTTGAAAACTGATATATGTGTTGTCAGTTTAGCCAACAGCAGCTCATTACTGGAGTAGCTGTGTCTTCATCCTTATCTGAGTACAATCAATTATTCCTTGTAATAAGAAAGGTTACTCAACTTCAATTGTTTCATATTCCTGGTGAAAGGAGTTTTTTTATTTGTTCCATAGACTCAAAATTGGAAAGAAGCAGAGGGCAATTTTCTTTTATAAGACATGATTGATTTTTATTAACTGTTTCCAAAAAATGTTTTTTAACATAAATAAAGGTGAATTTTGTGTTCTATCTAAGATTAAAAAGAAACATTATTTAGGGGAAATAGGTTAATATTAGGGATGTCAATTTTATTTCAACAGCTTAGTTGAATAGTTGGAGGCTTTAGTCGAACGATAGTCGAGTACTCGTTGAAATTTAAATTAATTTTTCATGTCATTTTCACTGTTTGTCTTTTACAGACTACTTGTACAATATTTAATGTACACTATCACCATTATACAATTAATTTCTGAATCGTAAACATTTACATAGTAAAAAATATATGTATCCAATGTATTTAATTTCAAATATGATATTTACTGCACGTTTTATCTAAATGCGGGATATTAAACGCTTGCAATTGCCCTTTCTTTTCATAACGCTAGTACATGTACCCATTAGTTGAAGCCATTTTAACGTGTCTTGTCGGTGCCCTGTGACTGGTAAACAATTAAAGCGTACCTCTTATAAAAACAGAGAGAGAGTTTGCGATAAATTTTAATTATGAGATTTGTGCAAACAATCAATACAATCTTGAAATGACTGCATGATATTAATATCAGAAAGAAACACCATTTAATTACGCCCATAACTGCCCCAATTTATATGCATTTACAATCATGTAACAGCTGTTTACATTTGTAATTATTCTTAATGAATAGATTCATTATGCGAGATCTCTTGGAATTTGCAGGTTGAAACTTTATAATTTAGATCATTCTATAATATCAAATAATTCTTGAAAGCCCTCTTCATTTACAACAGTAAGAGGAAGACAATCTTTGATAATCATGTTTGTTATAGCAACAATTTTTCTGGCTCTGCAGTTTCACCCAAGATTTCGATATGTTTGACGGATTGGGCATACAATATGATACATAAAAATGTGATGTTCCACTGCAGGATGCAAGTTCAGTTTCACATAACTGTGAAATTGTAATTTCACTGTTTTTCCATCCTGATATTTTTAAAGTATGCCGAAACTGTAGATTTTGCCGAACATAAATTGACACGCAAATAATTTCCTTTCAACAGTTATGCCTTACCCTGAGTTTAGCTCACGAGATTGATCTGTTAATAAATGCATTGTGCGGATCCAAGTTTATTACCTTGAATTTAAAATCACTAGCATATAGCAAATTTTTAACAAGTAAAAAAATTTAGTCGATAGTCGGTATGATCGAACGATAGTCGAGTACTTGAATATTCGTTGACATCCCTAGTTAATATCTAGTATCACTTTCTTTGAACCTACCTGGAATTACCTGTTTAGTCTTCTGTCCTGAATGTTTTGCTCACTCTAAATCGTAGCCCTTATTATTTGACAATGTACCGACATCAGCTAAATCTTAGCCACATTCTATTTGTACCAATATCAGCATTTCTGTATCTGACCTCCTGATTAACCTTTCCTAAGTCAATGTCTTCTTTGAGCTTCCTGATAAAACACCCTGGAGAGATTTTTATGCCCAGCCATGAATATAGCTGAGGCATATAGTGTTTGTCATGTTCGTCTTCCATCCGTGTGTCTTTCCATCCTTCTGTCTGTCTGTCTGTCACACTTTGCATTTAGCTCAGTTTCAAGGAAACTATTCAGGATATTTTTATCAAACCTTATATGCTTAATATATACTAGTGAGAGCTATTCAACTGCATCAACATTTTTGGACCTTGACATTCTCTATGACCTTGACTTTACTATCCTTCAATTTCAAAGAAACCATTCAAGATATTTTTATCTAAACACATTAGATGTTGAGAACTTATCAACTGTGCCCAATTTTTTACCTTGACCTTTTCTATGACCTTTGACTTTACTATTTATTGTGTTTAAAACTCAGTTTCAAGGGAACTATTCAAGATATTTTCATCAAACTTCATACACCAATACAAATTGGTGAGAGCTATTCAACTGAGTCATAATTTTCTGACCTTAAGGACAGACGATACGTTCCTCAATAATATATAATTTTTTCTAAGATTTTGTCACTGAAGTATTACTACTTTAACATGTTCACTCGCAAAAAATTGAGGTACATTACCAGGCATTTGTGCAAGATACCAGAGGATGTTGTTTCCTATAAAATCCTTTTGGAAAAAACTTAATTAGCCAATAACACAATTTTTAGTGTTTCAATTTTTTAAAGACAATTAGAAACCAGTTTAGAAATCAGAATGTAACGAAAATTTTGAATATTTTCCACACAATATGAAGATATGCAAAACAGATATTTGAGGAACGTATCGTCTGACCTTAACCTTCCCTGTGACTTTTGCCTCCTTATTCCTCATTTAACCTATTCTTAAACTAAGAAACAAGGTACATTTCTTTTCATGTTGTTAAATGAACCCTGGTGGGGCATTCATGTCCTATGGACATATTTCTAGTTGTAATGCAACTGCATTGAACACTGATATCTCGAATGCCATGGATATGTTGAAGTAAAATGAAAGTCCAAAGCACTTTTTAAGTATTTTAATTAACCTCTATATCTCAAATCCTCATGTATCTCAAAGTTTTTTTCTGATCCCATCAAATTTGAGATATTAAGGGTTGACTGTATGTTATACCGAGTATGCTCTCCCCATACACTAGCATTATGATAAGTTACATGTACTATAAAATGTTACATAACTACTCTTCATGTTCCCCTATGTTTCTCTGATTTTCCCCTTTATGAAGAATTTTTAAGCCTTTTCAGAAGAAAGAAAAAGAGGGCAATTGTAAAAGAGCTCTCTAAAAATTTGCTCCTGTATGAAACATAAGTTGAGGATAGCTGGGATCAATATGGCTGGGTGTGAAGATCTTGGGCCTAGTATTATTAAGCCTTGGCATTTCAACTGAGAGGACTTTTTAGTTAAGGAATCAATGCTTTCCAACTAATGAAGAACTGATCAGCTTCCTCATGTGCTAACATCTCAATTTCCACTACAATGGCTTCATTTCTTCAGCCATGCAGTATTGGAACTCGCCCTGGAAGAAAAAAAATCATCATCACCCATAGCTGTCTTTACCAAGCGACATCTTTGCTATTTCTGTTACTTAATATCAGAAGCAATCAACTGTGTATTGAAAAAAATCAAAATGCTACCACAAGTGAAAAAGAGTCATTACTAAATTGTTATTGTAGATTTTTTTCCTCATCGAGAGACAACAGGGAGAAAATGGTTTTTGTGAAAAATAAATACTTTGTCTGAAAACAGATATTGTTTTTCTTGCATCTGGAACAATTATAATTTATGTACAAAATGTATTGATAATTGTTCCATCTATTACTGAGACATAATACAGTGAAACCTTGTTAACTCGAAGTCGATGGGACCAAGAAAAAAAACTTCGAGACATCAGAGGATTAGAGATATCGAGAGTAAAATTCTCAAAGAATAAGTGGTTGGGATTAATCCAAAACACTTTGACATATCCATGGTATTCAAGATATCAGTCTCCAAGATATCTGAGTTCTACTGTATTAAAAAGAAAACAGATTGATTGTTTGTAGCTTACATCCCTGGCAAGATTATTTTACTCAGATGCATCATGGCATGTAGATGTAGATCTTTACTTCGCACTTGGCACTCAGGGCCATTGAGCAGTGGGGGATCATTACTGTGCCAATGCCTTCCATGACCTTGGTGTTTTTAGGTCACATCTGAAGGACCCATAACTTTCATCTCTAAGTACCGAACCCTTATCAATGAACAGTTACCACATACCAAATTTTACATTGACTTAGGTTTGAAACACTAAAACCACCTTAAATGGTGAAAGACGGCTTTTATATTTTGTTATCTTTTTTTTTATTTTTGCAGTTCAAGACTGTCACCAGCACTACTTAGGAACAGGAAATAAACATTTACAAAATAATCCCAAGGGAAAAAAAGGACTGCATTTTCCCATTAACACAATAAAACATACAGGGTGAGGAAAAAACTTGCCTTTTGCAAACATCATCTGATTAGAGATGTGATTCCTCATTAGAGGGGATTAAATATGGTTTAGACTTCTCACATTGATTTTGTATCAATGGTGTGGTGCCAGTAGTGTCAGTGTGAGGTTCTTGAACCAGTGGCCCTTGGGCGATATTGTGGATGGATTGTCTTATTACTTAAAGGATTCATCAGCAAAGCTAATCATCCTCTGATAAACAGGTTTATTCATATAATGTCTATCATTACACTGGTCTCTTAATCCCTGATTATATTCTTGTACTTATCTGCTGCAGTAATCAAATATTTTCTCTAATATATTGAAACAATTATGAAGCCACCACCACTGGTCAATCTTGTGTAGAGTAATTGTGTAGATAATGAAAAGGTAGTGGTAAATAGCAAACATAAAAAGATGTTCAACAAGCATTTTCTCACCCAGTCCTAATAGGTTTCCAGAATTTTGGCCTTGAAGTAATATTGAAACCCCCCTCCCCTCTCTCTGTTTGTTATTTGCTTTCCATATTTGTAGGCAAGTCCATATTGACAATAGCAAAGGAAAAATGATTTTTTTAAAAAGCTACAGAGTTATAACCTACAGCACTTTATCACCTGATTTCCCTTTCACTAATTTAGTCTCACTCTAGCTAGGTTGTGGAAATTTCCTCTGAAAATTCAATCCCAAAATTGGCTTCTCCAAGGCATTGTCGTATCCTGAGGCTTAATACGAATTATTCTAGAGAGTGAATTAGTGTGTCTTGTATCTTATTATTGATTCACAAATTTAAGCTAGAATATTATTCTGCTCATATTGGAAAAAAGGGTGGAAAGATCTATGAATGTATGATTAAGTATTTTCTGAAATTAATACTCAATTCATGTTTGCAGTTATGCAGAAATTTAGCACTCTAAACAGCAAGGAATCTATAAAGGAAATTTATAAGTTTTATGAACAATGACAAATTACTGTTAACAGCTCCTTGACAGTGTGCATATTACAGAGGATTTGATTGGTGCTGTAAATCACTTAGTTAACAAACTGGAAAAGGCCTGCATAGCTTGCCTGGAATGCATACTTAGATTAAATAGCCTGCTATTATATTGATTTAAAAATAGATTAACAAAGTGCAGAACTAGTAACTTGTATCCGTTTTCCTTCACAGACCCCAAAAGTCAGTGAATCAATATCATGTAATCCAAGAAAATTGTTTTCACATAATTAAAGACATGGAATTATAAACAAATTTACATTATGTTCTCACATACTTTAATAGATCCTTCTGAATATGTTACAATATAGTGGAAGGCTTCTTGATTCAACTAATATTTGTTGACTAAAAAATGAACTTAATATGAGGTATCTTGTCATTTCACTATACCATACACTGCTGCTTCAGGCAAGCCATGTGGCTCTTGGGCTTCTTTGTTTTGCTCAATGTTCTGAATTTTAGCTCTGTAGGGAGTCAGCTTCTTACATTTACAAGATACTGTTATTTTATCTTAAGAATTTCAACTCAAATTCAACAACAGTTGGCCAATATGAAGACAGATGTCTGAAAACTCAATGACGTAATGTTTCTAGGCAAAATGCAGAAAACTCATTTCTTTTGTTTTGATCAATTTCTGTAAACAGGCTGTTAATTTGCATACAAAATCCTCCACCTTGTATGACACAGGACTGCTGTGTAGGGAGATTGATTATAGAGCTCCATCACCTACAGATTACATCACGACTAATGGACGTCTCCTTAATCTCAGCAAATCAAAGCCCAGAATCATTAAGTGTTAGATCCATTATAACAATATTTTGAAAGCAGAGTAGAAAGTCTTCCTTTTTTATGAAATCATTTTTTTAAGGACCAGATGTTGCCATTGAGTATCTGATGCTGGTAGTGGATACAGTGGGCAGATGGAAATATGATACATAGAACAATATAGCACAATGCTGAGGAATCAAATTCACATAAAAATTATTGTGATACATATGAAGATAACACAGTGATGACTGATCAAATATCAAAAATGGTTATTATGCTAGTGACAATAATGGTACATGTATTGCAATATGATATTGAATGTTAACAGTTTCCTTTTGTTTTAAACCAAAGTAATTATGCATTGTAGATGCCAATAAAGACAAGCCAAAGGGTCCAGGAGGGATGGGAATGCCCCAAGGAATGCCCGGACCTGCTGGAATATCACAGCCTATGCAGGACCCCATTGGGGCCTTACAGAACCTCACAGTCCAGGGCATTGGCCCAGTGGGGCAGCAGGGTATGTATTCAGGAACAGCATCAAGTATCAGATTATACGTAATAAAAAAGGACATCAATAACTAGGAAAAGGTGTTTTTTCCTGGTCATGTTTATCACATTATGGCGAGTGTTCAAAGTTCTTAATAAAATCTGTGTACTCAAACAGAAGAGCTATGGTGGAATCAAATTGATTTGTCTGAGTTTGTCTGTGAGTAGATATCTGTTAAGTTATGGTTTGTTCTTCACATCGGAGTTTATTTCTATGTTATATTTGATTTTTGTTCTTTATTTCTTTTTCTTTTTTTTTTTTTGGTTTTTTTTTGTTTACTTTACTGTATTACATTTTCTTTTCTAGGTCACCTGAGTCATTTTCAAAATTTTTGCTTCTTCTACAGAATCATGGGCCAGGATTTTTACCAAACATGCCACAAACCATCTTTCTATGATGAAAATTTAATTTTATTTTGATAATAGACCCTTTCAAAGGAGATATGATAAGGACATTTAAACATTCCTTCTCAAGAACCACTGCACCAGAAATTACAAAACTTGTATGGAAACTTTTGTATATAGCAAAGAGTCAGAGTAGTTAAGAAAATAAGAATTAGTGATGCTCATAAGAAAATGTTTTAATTATCAGAATAACTTTGGGCAGACTGTTAAGACTTATGGGCCTTTTATTTTGATTTTTTTTGCTAATTAAGTTCTAGTTAATTCCTCTAAATGCGTATCCAACTCCAGTAATTTCTGTTGCATATATTGGTCTCTATATATTGAATGTTTCAAATCTGTGTGACGTGACTGGTTTACTTATTAAAATTTTGATAGATGGATATTTGGCTGGCAAAAATTCTTGCAGATCAGTCTCATTGATGTTGTAGGTTTGCAGATCAGTCTAATCACATGAGCTGGTACCAATTACAGCAAGATAGTATAAAATGCAAAAATAGTCCTTTATCCTAGCCTACCATGGACTTGAACAACCCAACACCTTTCTGTGGACAGTCAGTAACAAACCTGATAAGCGTTTTGTTTTGTTGAGGACCAATATCAGTTAACAAATCTACCAATTTTCTCAACTGTGCAAATCTTCCACTTGTCATCTTGTTGTTCACTGATTATGTAATTGAAAAGGGGCACTACTCTATATTTAATCACATCACATACCGGTATATTGCCAAATTGGTGAGGTCATAATGAATTTTTTGGTCTGTTTTAAAAAGGAAAATAGCACTGGCATGAATTTTTCTTTAAATTTGGCTTACCCAATATCATTTTATCTACCATTTTGCCATCCAAATTTTGCTACTCATCATACAAAGAAATATTGATGGCAGACACAAGATGTCTGTTACCCAATGACAGAGCATCATTTCAGTTGGAGGCAAAACAAATTACATCAAGAGGTTGTTCTAGTATTTGTGAAGACAATATGTCTACATCCATCCCAACCCAAACTTGATATTACTTTAATCCAGACAGATTGCAGTGTAAAACTCTCCAAATACCTAAAAAAAATATTATTGTCTAATCATAGCTACTCAGAAGATCTTCATATTTTTTATAAAACTGTATCAATTTGATCAATTTCTTAAAAATTGATACATTTAATTGTTCTTGAAAGTTCATTTTCTTTATCAAAAAACCAATCTTTACATAAACCTTTTTAATATGTTATGAGTTATTTTTTTTTGACTTGAAAGACTGAAGTGCATGAAAATGACAATTCTCTGCATAAAAATTCATAGTTAACATCCAGTTCTGTTGGTTATATCAGTTACAACATGTATTGAATTCTGTTTGATATGTTGTTCAGTACTTGGTAAATAAGACATTTTAGTTTTTGCCACTGCACTTAAAACATTGTTTTACCCAAATTAGCTGGGTTTCCTGTTCAGGAAACCATTGTAAGATAATAAGACAGGTGTTACTGAAAACAACATAAAGTATTTTAACACATTGGATGGCAAATAATATGAGACTTATTGATATTATAGGGATAAACATCTATTACGAAGACTGATCATGAATTGGAAAACTGTAAGTGACAGGAAAAGACTTCAGATCTTTTGTTAAAATCACTGGTAAATTGATTTTCATGTTACAGGGATGATGAATCAGCAACAACAAGCACATCTTCAGCAGCAACGGTTGCTTATGCAACAGCAACAACAGCAAAGACACATGCAGATGCAACAACAACGTCCCCCACTGGAGGTAAAGTGATAAAAATGTTTTGACTTCTATGTTCTTCATAGTTTTGTGCTCTGTCTTCAAAAAATGTCCAATTTTTATGGGAAAATTTAAGAAAGGGAATGGGAATGTGAAATTCATGCCCTGTGGAAGTTAGTTCCAATCCCGGGCATAGTAGAATTTGGTTTGAATGTTGTGTGGGTAACTGCTTCTTTTAGCTTGAGTTTGTTTTGCTTTTTGAACTATGAACAGACTTTAGGCTTCTTCACAGTAGCTTGATAGTGTTTTTAGTTGTGATATACAAACTGTATACAGGGTTATTTTGGCCCCATGTTATTTTCGCCCTTTCACAAATAATTTTGACCCATTTTAAATTCGCCAGATCACAGGTCTGTTTAAGAAATACTGTGATTTTTTTAGTTTGTCCCATTTTAAATTCACCCATCTATTGAGCAGGGGTTAGGGGCAAAAATAAAATGGGGGCGAAAATTTACCTGTATACAGTATTGGCACTCTGGGTTCTTTTAAAGAGATCGACTAAGATTGATCCTTTGGGTCACATGATGACTTCTATTGCTACCATTAGAATTTGTATATCTGTAAAGTAACTTCAGAATGGCTTGGGCTGAGGTTTGTTTCAAGTTTCAAGTTTTTATTTAAGACAAAGACCCCAACTGGGGTATATGAATGCAAATGATACAACAAAATAACATACAAGCATGGAATGAGTGGCACTAATGTTAATTACTATATACATGGCATGTATAGTTCAAAATATCAAAGTGTAGAAGGCCTTTGCTATTATTTAATAAATCTGTATGTATTACAACATATTTAAACAGTTGTTTTGTTATTATTAATTTATTACTGACAATAAAATTTTGCAAAATTTGGCAAGTCCAAAAATGAATTTAACAGGTCATGAAATTTAATAACTGTATATTTGCACCATGATTTGATTGGATCAAGAGTTGTTTGCCTTTACTGTTTTTTTTTCCTTTGGATCAAAGGACATGACTTCTGTCTTAAAAATATTTCTAAATAAACATTTCTTTGAAAATGAAAGCATGGAATTCTAATAGGGCCAATGCTTATAAATAGAGAAACATTAAAACTCTTTCTTGACAGAAAAACATATGTTTGACCATAGTGTGTAGTCTTGTGCTTTATAAAAGGATATTTTGATGAGGCAAAAAAACTGTGGAAAAGAAGTTTTCACTTGGCTATAAATTTCTGACAGCAAAACTCAAGAAACTTGTGAGATGTAGGGGGCTTACATTAGGGAATCTTCATAGTATAAGAATGACACTCAGGTGACTATTCAGGCTCGTGGGCCTTTTGTTTTCATAGATGTGATAAAGTTCTAGAATTCATTACATTTTCAACATTGAAATACTGTGATTTATTTATTGAATAAAAGTGATATTCTGTCATAGTGTGAAAGGATACCAAAGTGAGTAAAACATAACTTCTGGCCTTTCATAAGATAAAAATAGTAACTAAAACATCTTGATAGAAAGTAAAACTGCCAATTTCTTCCCAAATATATCGCTAAATCCATGTTACAATGTTTTCAATCTCACAATTGCTAAGCTATGATGTCTCAACCGCTCAACTATGACATCAGAGCCTATGACAGTGTGTGAAGAAAAGACAGAAGCAAAGGAAAATCAAAGAAAATGTAATAAACAGAAAATTCAATGTTTTGTAGTTGAACATGGAATTTATTTCATTCGTGAGACAGGAATTGATGATGTTTTCACTCAGGCTCAGCAGTTGTGAAAATATAAAAAAAATTTGGTCCCACTAGTGAAATAAATTCCATATTCAACCACAAAACATTGAATATCCTCAATTTCTTGTGGGATTCACTGCATAATGATGATAAGGATAAAGGTAGTACACAACAGATATCTAAAGTTATATCTCATCATATTTTTTTTTATGCCCCACCATGAATTTGGCAGGGACATATAGTGATTGTCATGTCCATCCTTCCATCCTTCCGTTGCACTTTGCGTTTAGCTTAGTTCAAATCTTAGTTTCAAAGAAACTATCCAAGATATTTTCATCAAACTTCACATGCTGATAGATATTGATGAGAGCTATGCAACTGCTTCAACATTTTTTTACCTTTCCTTTGACCTTGACCTCACTTTTCTAAATTAGTGTTTAGTTCAGTTTTAAAGATACAATTCAAGATATTGTTATCAAACTTCTTATGCTGATACATACTGATAAGAGCTATTCAACTGCATCAACATTATTTGACCTTGACCTTTCCTTTGACCTTGACCTCACTTTTCTTAAATTAGTGTTTAGCTCAGTTTTAAAGAAACCATTCATGATATTATAATCAAACTTCTTATGCTGATACATACTGATAAGAGCTATTCATCTGCATCAACATTTTATGACCTTGACCTTTCCTTTGACTTTGACCTCACTTTTCTTAAATTAGTGTTTAGCTCAGTTTTAAAGAAACCATTCAGGACAGTGTTATCAAACTTCATATGCTGATACATACTGATGAGAGCTATTCAACTGCATCAACATTTTTTGACCTTGACCTTTCTTTGACCTTAACTTCATTTATTTTAAATTAGTGTTTAGCTCAGTTTAAAATAAACCATTCAAAATATTTTATCAAACATAATATGATGATATGTATTTGTGAGAACTATTCAACTGCATCAAAAATGTTTGACCTTTAACTTTCCTGTAACCTTGACCTTTTTTTAAATTTGCATTTTGCTTAGTTTAAAGAAACCATTTAAGATATATTTATGTAAGCTTATGCCCTTGTATATAAATTGGTGAGAATTTATCATCTATATCCAACTTTTTAGATTTCAATTTTAAAGAAACTATTCAAGATATTCTCATCAAATTTCATACACTAATAGAAATTTTCATGTTGCATTACTAATATACCCTCGGCGGGGCATTCATGTCCTATGGACATATTTCTAGGTCTTTTTTTTTTAATATTTTGTTCTAGAAAATACAAATTTAAATGTATATGATGTAAAAGAAATCTGACCTTGTATGTTTTTTAAAAAAGTGTATCAGACCTCAATGAGATGAATGGAAAAGCAAACATCACTGAAATGTGTTTAAATTCACCTTTTAATTTGAGATGCTACAAATGTTTTGTGGTACTATTTATAAAGGAGACCTACTTGTTGCTAAAAATATATATTTTTTGATATATTTGTGTACAATATGATGTAAAAATGGGATATACATGTACATAGCTTTGTTAATGGCAAATCCGTGAGTAGACATATTACATTTTAAGATTTCTTTAGAAATATGTATAATTCAAATTTTAGGAAAATTTAACAAAATACAGGTACATGTAATTCAAATGATACAGAAATTGAAATACTTCAAAATGAAGAAAATTCACCAGTGAGTCACTTGAGACCTTGACTTTTATTGTGCATAAAGAATTTTAGGACTACTTGTATATGCAATCCACTATCAGGTCTTCAGCTATAAAAGAAAAAAAAGTTAATTTCATTATAAGACAGTTAAGTACTGTGTTTGCATATTGTAATGTTAAATTATATCATAAAAATTAAGATATTTCACATTTATTTTTATGATTCTTATGATGAATTAAAGAATTTGTTTCTGGTAAGAAAGTGCCCTCCACTTTACCTCCCAAAAAAATCCAAATTGGTGACATTAAGTGTATCGTTTTGACATCAGAGATTGCTCTGGGTGTCAGGGAATGGTAACACTACAATTATGATTGCTTGAATTGTTTTCAAGTCATCATATTAAAACTTCTTAATTGATCAACCAACAACACACTTTATCCACCAAGAAAATTTTATAGAGATTCACTAATTTTTTTTAAAGATGGAATTCAGTCTACAAAATTTTGGGACAACCCTCATATCTTCTGTAAGTCTATAAATAGACTTACAATTTATCCTCTCTACTGTTTTATCCTTTAAATAAAGGAAATCAATATTTATGTACAGAGCAAATTCATTTTTCCAAGAATAAGAAAGCAATTATTGATATTTGTGTTTCATTTATTATGTACACTTTGCACAAACAGCTAAGGTTGCTTGGGGCTCACCTGAGCAAATTTTTGAATCAATATTTGGCATCCATCTGTCTGTCTGTTATTTCCCTCATTCTCAGAGCCACTTGGCTAATTTCTTCCAAACTTGGTACAAAGTGTACTTGAAGAAAGGAGATTAAATTTTGTTCAAATAAAGAGTCATGCCCCAATTTAAGAAAGAAGTGTTGATTAAATGGTAATAAATTTGGCTAAGAGTCATTGAAAAAAAATTTAAGTACCACTAAGCCAGATAAGAAAAAAAAAATAATATCACTATATGAAAGATTCAAGCTTGTTGAAATCATGGCCTCTAGATGGGGGGGGGGGGGGTAATTTTACATAGGAATACTATTGGGGATCAATCTTTGAATACAAGACTTCTTTTCATCTAATTTGATATTCAGACCATTTCCAAGAAGTGTAGATCCATTCTCTATAGGAGAAAATGATTTAGATGAGAATTGTGGCCTTTGGGACTCGTATGGAAAATTTAAATACATTATATCTAAATAAGTTTCTATTCCTTCCCAAACAATGTATAATCAGGGCCCTGCAAGAAATTGTGAGTTTTAAGGTTGCCATTTAGTGACTTAAAAGTAAATTTGACTTGGAGCACTGGCAAACTTAGCAGAAAAGGAGAATAACTCTAATAACTTACCTGGGATTAAATATTCTGCCAGCTGCAGAAAAATTCAGAGCCAAATTTAGATTGACATCTCTACCTGATATTTGTTTGAATTTAGGTTGTGCCCAAGTGATGTTTGCCTTCACTTAAATGAAATACATACATTGTTCTTAATTCATTGAATTATAACAGTGAAAGTTTTTAGCTCTTCTGAGCCAAAGGCTCAAAGAGCTAATACTATGGCAATTTGTGCGGTGTGCATAAACTTTTTATGAATATGTGCTATATCTTAAAGAACCCCTTGTCCAATTTTTGTCAAATTTGTCACAGAGTATCTTTGGCCCAAGAGCTCTCATACTAAAACAAGGGATGTGACCCTTTAAAGGGGAGATAATTAGGAAAATTAAAAAAACAAAAGTACTAGTTGCTAAAACATCTTCTTCTCAAGAACCACTGGGCAGATTATCACCAAACTTACACACAAGGATGAGGATAAGTTGTAGATTAAAAATTGTTCAAGGCATCACCCTGGGGCAAAGGGCGTGGTCTCAAGGTCACTTCAAATTGACCAAAAATTATGTTTTGTTAAAACTTTGATATTTTGCTTACTATAAGGACTAGGATAATAAAATCTTGTCAGTTGATGCATCTTAGGACCTCATATCATACTGACTCAAAAGTAGGTCAATATGAACTCCTTTTTGAATTTTGCAGGCATTCATTTTCAAATTGATGAAGAGGCATATTTTGGACACTTTAAGGTGTTATGCTATAACCTATGATCATCAAACTTTGTCATTTGATGCGTCTTGTGTCTTCGGAACACGTCAACTGAAATGTAGGTCACCTTGACCTACTTTTTGAATTTTATGGCTAATCTTTTCCAAAACATTTCAGGTCATTATTTCAGATGACACAGTGACCTACATTTTGAATTTTGAAGGCATTTGTTTTCAAATTGATTTAGAGGCATATTTTAAACACTTTAAGGCCTATGAACATCAAACTTCGTCAGTTGATGCATATTGGGTCCTCAGAGAATGTCAACTGAAAAGTAGGTCACTGTGACCTAATTTGAAATATTATGGCTATATTTAATTTTCAGTAATTGGCTTAGAATCAACAAACTTTGTTGGCTGATGCATCATGGGTCCTCAAAGAATGTCAACTGAAAAGTAGGTCACCCTGACCTACTTTTGAAATTTAATGGCTATATTTAAATAATTTCAGGTACTTAATGGCTTAGAATCATCAAACTTTGTCAGTTGATGTATCTTGGGTCCTCAGATTAAGTCAACTGAAAAGTAGGTCACCATGACCTACTTTTGGAAGTTCAAGGCATTATCTAAATAATTTTAAATAATTAAAGACTTGAAATCATCAATTTTTGTCAGTTAATTCATCTCGAGAGTTCTCAGAGTGTTTTAATCAAAATGTAGGTCATAATGACCTACTTTTGGAATTTCAAGGCTTGGTTTCAATACTAGTATACAGGATACTTAGAGGCTTCAAGTAGAAGTGATAGGTTGTACAATTAATCAGAACAGCAATTCAAGGCCCTTGGACCTCGTGTTTTTTATCAGCATAGGATATTCAGTCCTATTGTTCAATGGCCGTCATAAGACAAACCATATTTTTTCTTGCCATAAAAAGTTCAGTACCATCAAACATGATTGTATTTAAACATTTTGCATCTCCACAAGGTTATGATGATGATTCATGCTATATTCTATGTCATATTCAAGTTTGTGAAATGAAATATGGATGGAGATAACAAACAGTAATCAAGATCAAAAGTCCATTGAAACAATACAGATTAGGAGCAGAGCAAACACTGACCTCTAAAATATCAGAGGTGAGATCAGGAGTAAGCATCACCTTCAACTGGTTACACCTGCCGTGTGCTCATTGTCATGATCGAGCAAATGGAAAAAACTGTAGACGATTCAGTGTTAAAAAATGGCCTAACAATTAGTATGAATAGTATGGAATACATCAGTCAGCATTTTTTTAGGGTGTGTAAAAAAGTTGCGAAGACTTAGATGAAAAACAACAGTTAAAACATTTATCACATTAAGTCCAGTTTGTTCACGAAAGAAATTTGCCCTGTGGGGTTAGATGAGGTTGTATGGTGGCGTTGTGATCTCTGTGGGATTTGATAAGGTTGTGTGGTGGCATTGTGATACCCTGTGGGGTTAGACGAGGTTTTGTGGTGGCATTGTGTAATCTGTGGGGTTAGACGAGGTTGTGTGGTGGCATTGTGATACCCTGTGGGGTTAGACGAGGTTATGTGGTGGCATTATGGTACCCTGTGGGGTTTGACGAGGTTATGTGGTGGCATTGTGCAATCTGTGGGGTTAGACGAGGTTTTGTGGTGGCATTGTGTAACCTGTGGGGTTAGATGAGGTTATGTGGTGGCATTGTGTAATCTGTGGGGTTAGACGAGGTTGTGTGGTGGCATTGTGTAACCTGTAGGGTCAGACGAGGTTGTGTGGTGGCATTGTGTAACCTGTGGGGCAGTGATTTTTCTACATTTTTTAAAAGGGGCCTGGTCCTTTACAATTGGGAAAAATCATCGACTTTTGTGCCAACTTGGGAAAAATCAATAAGATTGTAGTTAACTTTAATTTACAGATAAAATGACATATACAAGTAATTTTAACACCATTTATTCAATTTATTGCTGATAAAATAACAAATTAGACACAGTTCTACATGTACATTAAATTTTATAACTTTCTTTTTTTTTAATCTTTGAATTTGTCAATGATTGTCTTTATTTTTCATCATGGTTTTATTTTGGGAAAAAAGCAAATTAAATTGGGAAAAACTTGGTAATTTTTGACAGGGGAAAGGGCCGATATTCGGACCTAAATTTGGTGTAGAAAAATCACTGCTGTGGGGTCAGACGAGGTTGTGTGGTGGCCTTGTGATACCCTGTGGGGTTAGATGTATGGATGATTTTGATATATGATGGCTTACTTCATAGCATTCTTTAAAAAAAATGAACAGTTGATTTAATTGATGCAGTCTCCTTATTTTTATAGAGACAGGATGCATTCCTAGTGACGTCTGCTCAGCATGTCCAGTCAATGGCACAGCCACTTCCTGCCAATTCAGTTAGTTTCTCATCTCTACTCCAATTTTTGAAAAACTAAAAAAAAAAGTTATAATTAACAGTTGTCATCACATGGAGCTAATTGGATGTGAAAGTCATGTAAAAGTTACAGTAAATGTAATTAAACAAGCCTATGAAATTAAATGTCAACAACATTTGTAGTGCTTGAATTTACCTTCCTTAGAACAAGTTGGAGCAGTTGTATTCTTAATTTTGGTCACATTTCTGACATTTCATATATATTTTTGGAAAATTATTTTAGCAGGTAGGCATGTCTTATCAACAAACAATGACAGGTGGCAATATGCAACAAGCTGGGCTGCAACAGGGAATACAAGGAGGAATACAGCAACCTGGAATGCAGCAAACAGGCATGCAACAACCAGGGATGCCAATGAGTTCCATGGGAATGCAGCATGGCATACAGCAACAAAGACCCCAGACTTCAGGCATTGGGGGAATCAGTCAAGCCTCACAGTTACCATTTGGACAACAGGTGAGGAAACATGTCACTCAGAATTAATAAGTTCTGATTTTTTTTTTATTCTCTAAGCTGTGTAGAATAATACATATAAATTCCTGACCTAATATTGCCTATAGAACTAAGGGCATACAAGTTAATGTGTTAATTTACTTTTTTTATGAGGTTGAATTCTATTTTTGTATGCTTGTAGGGAAAAAAGTCAGTTATCATACAGATATACTGTAAACATACAGGATGCACTGTATAAAACACTCAAAATTTAACTTAAACTTCCTCCTCAACTGTTAGCATAATCAGGAATTGGTGCATCTGAAAAAACTAAAGTTTCTGTATGCATTTGTTATAAAATATATAAGCATTTACTTAAATTAGTGGGCATAAAGTAGTGTAAAAGGCACTAAAATATGATTGCTGCAAAGATAAGTATCTTTACAGATATACAGATTTATACATATTTTATATTTTATACATATTTTACAGATTTATATATATAAATATATATATATATATATATATATATATATATATATATATATATATATATATATATATATATATATATATATATATATATGTAAATATACTGTATAAAGATTATAGCTGTGTTTATATTTTTCGTTACAGATGCAACCTGGACCCAACATGACTTCGTAAGTAATCTGAGAAATGTCTAGCTGGTGTACGTGTTGATTCCTTCCCCTTCAGAATCCTATGTAGATATGTATTATCCTGTCAACTGAAAATACATGTATAGGAATCTTTAAACCCTCCATGTGACATTCAGATATGGAAACCCCATATCCCCTTAGTTTGATTTACTAATATGATATATGAAATCTGTATGCCTCTTCCATGTGAACTCCTGAAGGTATATGGAATCATATATCCCCTCCATGTTACCTACTGTTGGTACATGTATTAGAATTCATACCACTTTCCTTGTGGTCTTTTGAGTGATGTCATTGCAAACAACAGTTATCACATTGATAAGAAATATTGCGTGTGCAGAACAGTTTACATTTCTGATTATACTGAGTCAGGGTTGTCCCTAAAACGCGGGGGCCAGAGAATTTCCCCGCCTATAATGATGTAATCCCCCGGTTATTCTGGTATTCCTACTCAACCCCCTGTTAGGCAAGGGACCCCAGAGACCCCCGTCTACTTTTTAGATTTACCCTGCTATTTCAATTCTTAGGGACAACCCTGCTGAGTATATTTTTTATGTTGAAGAGTTTGGAAAAATATATATGTGTGGGAATGTTAGACATTTAAAATTATCATCCCTTATTAAATTATATTATAAAAATTCAATTAGTTATTCTGTAAAGGCAAGTCAGGAAGTACATTGGGATTTAGAATAAAAACAACAATAGGATGAACTTGTAATCAACTCTATTCTATTGTTCTTTTAAAAAGAGATTTTTCAGGGACCCAAATGTTGGTTCCATATCTTCCCTTTTCAGTTACTACATAACTAGCAATATGTTGCTTGTTTTGAAGTTATCACTTCTACAGCTGTTTTAAAAATAACACATCAGAATTGATAGTTTAAGTACTATGTGCTTCTCTCTTATGTATTTTTAAAGGAAATATAGGTAAGGAAGTAACAATGATCTTCCTTATTAAAAAAAGCTGACTATAATTTGTAGTATGAAATGTCTGTGTTTTTATACAGGCAACAGGCAGTCCCCTCCCCGAAGCCCCCCTCCATCAGCAGCATGATGATGTCTCCTTCCCCTCAAGGAATGGTCAACAATCCCCGAGTCCCCTCCCCCAGGGTCCTCAACACACCAGGTAAGTAAATATACCTAACAGTAACAGAGTTGTAAGTTTGTGTGTGGGTGCATTTTATGCCTTTCATAATGATAAATAAAAAGATATAGTACATTGATACAAAATTTGGAAGAAGAAAGATGTGTTTGTTAAACACAAATGGTCCCAAAAATTTGCTTAGTTATGATGTGAACGATGGTTCATATTAAAGTTTTCTTGGACACACGGAAGGAGAACCAGGACAAAAACATGATGTTGTAATCTTCAGGGACATCAAAAGGACATTAATGGGAAAATTACATTTCCACACTGATCAATTTTTTATTACATTTTCAACAGTGAAATACTGTAATTTATTTACTGAAAAAAGTGATATTCTGACACAGTGTGAAAGGATATCAAAATGGTATTCTCACAGTGTGAGAATATCAGAAGTTGGCAAAACTTACGATTTTCCTTCCCTTCACGAAGAGTGTTTTTTTAAAAAATCCCCGGCCTGTTATAAGATAGAGTTAATGAGCCATCCTGACAGAGACAAATAGTCATACTGCCAAAGTTTTTCCAAATATGTCGTTAAAAAGTCCATGTTTACAACGTTTTTCAATCTCCCAATCACTTAACTATGCCGTCTCAACCACTAAACTGACATCACAGCCTATGACGCTGTGTTACAAAAAGACAGAGGCAAAAGGAAAATCTAAGAAAATGCAATAAACAGAAAATTCAATGTTTTGTAGATGAATATGGAATTTATTTCACTCATGAGACAGGATGTTTGATATTTTCACTCGTGCTTCGCACTCGTGAAAATATAAAAAAAAATCCTGTCCCACTCGTGAAATAAATTCCATATTCATCTACAAAACATTGAATATCCTCTATATATGCAAGTCTTTCTTCAGGTGTTACCATGGTTTTGTATTTTTTATTTGATAGATATTTTTTTATGTCTGCTGTATTTTGTGGTGAGTGGGGTTGGTTGTCCAATGTATTTTGAAATTTTGAAACAAACTATTTTATAGTTGTATGAAGTCAGCTCTTATTGGAATTATATAATGCACAATTGTTAGTAAAAGTGCATTTATGATGACCTGATTTGTTGACAGGTATATCATGTGTTCTTTGTTTACAGGTGTATCATGTGTTCTTTGTTTACAGGTATATCATAAACTCTTGTTCACAGGTGTATCATGTGTTCTTTGTTTACACGTGTATCATGTGTTCTTTGTTTACAGGTGTATCATGTGTTCTTTGTTTACAGGTATATCATTAGCTCTTGTTCACAGGTGTATCATGTGTTCTTTGTTTACAGGTGTATCATAAGCTCTTGATCACAGGTGTATCATGTGTTCTTTGTTTACAGGTGTATCATAAGCTCTTGTTTACAGGTATTTCATGTGTTCTTTGTTTACAGGTGTATCATAAGCTCTTGTTTACATGTTTGTCATGTGTTCTTTGTTTACAGGTGTATCCTGTGTTCTTTGTTTACAGGTGTATCACAAGCTCTTGTTGACAGGTGTATCATGTGTTCTTTTTTTACAGGTGAACATAAACTCTTGTTTACAGGTGAATCATGTGTTCTTGCTCTGTGCATGTACTTTTTGGAGACATTTTAGCAGATTTATAAATATTTGTGGGGTTGGAAATTTGCAATTTATTCATCTAAAGTTGTGATATACATACAAAGAGAACCTATTTCATTTGTTATAGACTTTGTTTTTTAAAAAAAAGAATTTTAAAAAAGATATACAAGAAAACTGTTAAGTATATGGGAAATTTTGCCTCTTTCTTTATTTATGCCCTTGCTATTACAGTGCAAATTCAAAATGGTGGCTACATTGCATTATCAAAAATTTTGAAAACTGGTCAGTTTATCATGTCCAAAAATTATTTTCTTTCATTTCCAAAAAATATAAAATATCAGTACCAAAAATTCAAAATGAAACATTACACTCAAAATTCAATGCCAATTTGTATATAATTCATCCAAATATCTTCCTGTTTTTAGCTCACCTCAACAAAGTTTGGGGAGCTTATATAATACCCTCGGCATCGGTGTCGGCATCCCAGGTTAAGGTTTTTGGAGCAGTTTTCTTTTCAAGTACTTCTATGGCCTATATTAGTCAGAGATGCATGGAGGATGCTTCTAGTGTGTTTCATCGTACCAGTCAAGGTTTCAGATGCTGCAATTTCAGCTAAAGAATGACCAGGTTAATGTTTTTGGAGCAGGTTAAAGTTTTTGGAGCAGGTTAAAGTTTTTGGAGCAGGTCTCATTTTCAAGTAACTATAAGCCCTATATTGACCAAACTTGCATGATGATACATCTAAGGATGCACTCTACTGAACTTGCTTCGAATGCTGGATCTGACCTAAATTTTCCGGTTGAGTGACCTGGTTAAAGGTTTTGGAGCAGATCTCATTTCCAAGTACATGTAACTATAAGCCCTATATTGACCAAACTTGCATGGATGATACATCTAAGAATGCACACTACTGTACTTGCTTCAGATGCTGAATCTGACCTATATTTTCTGGATGATTGACCAGGTTAAAGTTTTTGGAGCAGATGTCATTTCTAAGTAACTATAAGCCCTATGTTGACTAAACTTGCATGGATGATACATCTAAGGATGCACACTACTGGACTTGCTTCAGATGCTGCATCTGACCTACATTTTCCGGATGAGTAACCAGGTTAAAGTTTTTGGAGCAGATTTCATTTCCAAGTAACTATAACCCTATCTGAACCAAACTTGCATGGATGATGCATCTAAGGATGCACACTACTGGACTGCTTCGGATGCTGGATCTGACCTACATTTTCTGGATGAGTAACCAGGTTAAAGTTTTTGGAGCAGATCTCATTTCCAAGTAACTACAAGGCCTATCTGAACCAAACTTGCATCAAGGGACGAACAATCTCAAACTTGCTTCGGATGCTGGATTTGACTTGCATTTTCTGGATGAGTGACTAGTTTTAAGTTTTCAGATAAGTCTATTCCCAAGTAACTGCAAGCCCTATCAGACCAAAATTGCATAAATGTTGCATCTAGGGATGCACACTCCAAGATTATTAGTTTAGTTTGGGACCTTGCCTTATTTTAAGACAACATTCATTGAGGTGAGCTCTGTAATCTCTGATTAGGCCAAACAAAAAAATATGTGTGGTTCCGGTTACACCTCCAAAAAAATTAGGGTAGGTAGGTAGGTTTTTTTTTTTTTTTTTTTTTTTTTTTTTTTTTAAACAAAATGATTTTCTTAATTTTTCTAAATAATACCTATCACTGCTTTGCAAATGACATTTAGATGTGGTGTGATAATATACTAGTCAATATTGGTAGGGGACACCTACATGCTAGCTTTCTTTGGATTTAACACTATTAAACACTTGCACTATGTTGTGCAAGGAGGTCGTCATTGCCGAAACTAAAACTTCAAACCGGAGCCATTGATGGAAATTGGGGAAAATTCCGGAAAAAATATGAAAATTGCCCAAAAAAATTTTAGGGTCGGGGGTATAAAATAGGGACGGTCGGGTAACTGGAACCACACATATTTTTTTATTTGGCCTTACCTATGTTTGAACATTATCAAGATACAGACAACAAAATAATATCAGGATATGAAAACTTAACAGTGAAGCTTAGGATTGCAGAGTTCAGTGTGGCTACTGCATCAGAAATGCAGTGACTTTGTTTATGAAGCTGTGTTATGACAATATTATATTTTCTCTTAAGGCTACAGTAACTGAATTTTCATGTTGATGATTATAAGCTTTTAAATCCATTTTTAAAAAAAAATTTAGATGTGTATCTATAAAAAAGTGTTGATTATTACTTAAATTCATCAATTTATCCTTCTCAAAGTCCACAACCACTTTACCACATAGAGCAAGGGGAAACAATAAAACCTGAAATATTGAAGAGATACTGAGGACAGATTTTTGGGAAATACTATACGTTAATTTGGAAATTAACTAATAAAAAATTTGTAGGTGATACTTGAATATTTTTGGTATTAATAAGAAAAAAAACTTAGTGATGCAGTTTTGATTTTTGGTAATGCAAAACTGCAAAAATGGGTGAATTTAACAGATAGAGTAACCTCTCTTGTAACTATCTGTTTCGAGGGGCAAAATCCTTGCAAGTGTGATAGGGCAAAATAACATGGGTTGAAAATAACCCTACATTGTATATGTATACAGTATTAAATTCATGTAAATGTGAACTTGTAAAATTCTTATGCATTAAACACCACTTTGTTTTTACAAGCACAGGTTATTCTCAATGGCTTGACATTTCATCTCTCAAAAGTCTTCATTTTTTTATGTAAAAAATATGTTTACCGTTCATTCTTAAATGAAGCAAACAACCAATCCCTTAAATTAAAACTCTATAAATTCTTAAACGTCTGAAATAATTTCTATTCATCTAAAAGTTTTATGTAGTGAATTCACATGGCTCAGTCACAACGTTAGTTTGGAGACGTTTGACTTTTACTCTTTTAGTTTCTCTTTGTATAACAATGACAATAATTGATGGTGCATGAAAGGAAATTTCAATAAGAAATACTTTGATAAACCAGCTATTTTCCATTAATTGCAATGGATTGCAAAGGAAGAACAGATTGTATAACATATAAAACCATTGGTTTTCCAGATTCTCTCTGAAATTTCACTTGGGGAATTTTATTGTGACCTATTAAACTCTATGTTTTCCAATTTTATTTGTAACTCAGTTTTCTTCCAATGAAAATTTAAAGAAATTCTCCCGTAAAATGTCAATTTACACCTTTGCAAAATCCAGTAGAATGTTTTATAATATTTGAAGGTTATCTATCCTTAGTCCTTAAACTAGATGTTTCTACTGGAAAATCTTGTTAATTGATATTTTAATTAATGAGTCATGAACGCAAAGGAATATAAATAAGCATGTTCAATAAGATATTAAGTACAGTGTATGACTTGATGTAACAACTATAAATAAGACCTCTAGCCAAGAAAATTGTGCTTTTTTAACAGGTGCTCCGAATTCTCCTAGCCCCAACACTCCACGATCACATGAAGAACAAGCCTACCTAGAAAAACTGAAACAGTTACAGAAGTACATTGAACCACTGAAAAGAATGATCAACCGCTTGACTACTGGCAAAGATGAAGGTA